TGAAACCCTTGATGTTTTGGTACAAAGCCATTTTGATCGTTATGAACTAAATGTGAGATAAAGGGGTCTAGTCTTTTTGCTAAGGCTTTGCAAAGTATTTTAGTGTCCACCCCCATCAGACTGATTGGTCTACATGAAGAGCACTCCTCAGGAGGTTTACCAGGCTTTAACATCAGTACGATCATTGCTTGTCTCAGATTAGGTGAGAGAACTTCACTTCTAAATGCTTCTTCATTCATATTGAAGAGCGGGACTATAAGTTTTTCTTTGAAAGTTTTGTAGAATTCAATGGGGAAGCCGTCTGGCCCAGGAGCTTTACCACCATTGATACTTTGCATGGCCTGTGAAATTTCTTCAGTCGTTAAATTTGTATCCAATTCAAGTTGGTCTAAGAATATATCTTGTTCTTYCGAGGCGTGACAGCACTCCGATTTATATAGTTTCACATAGAATTGCCTAAAGCTATCGTTAATCTCAGATGGATCTACTGTTACCCGGCCAGAGGGGTCTTTATACTGTTAATTGCTCTTTCACTTTGTATTTTCTTAATTCTCCACACCAATAGTTTCCCAGCTCTCTCTCCTTGGTCATAATAAGATTGTTTTAACCACATTAAACTTTTTGCTGCTGCCTCATAAGATAATTTATTATATTCAGTTCTCAAACATAATAATTCACTCTGCTTTATTTGGTCGTCGTCAGCATTTAAGTCTTTTTCCAAAAATTTGATTTGTTTATCCAAAATTTCCATTTGTTTCATTTGTTGTTTGTTTTTTGCACTTGTATAGCTAAGAATTTCACCTCGGATATATGCTTTGAATCCTTCCCATCTCACTGAGGCGCAAGTCTGATCTGTATTTAATTCAAAATAAGTATCTACTGTATCTTCTCCCCTATCAATTTGACTAAGTTTTGATCCTGTAGCCATTTTGCTTGAAACCGCCAACAGGGTGGATTATGCAGAGCATTTTCAATGTAAATATTCAGTGAGATAGCTGCATGATCACTGATCACTATATTGTCATACTGACATTGTTTGACCCTTGATAAAAGTTCTCTTGAAACAAGAAAATAATCTATACGTGAGTGGGATTTATGCATAATCGAGTGACAACAGAATTCTATTTTATCARGATTTTGTTCTCTCCGCACTTTCACCAAGTTTATATCCAATATATATTGATTTATTAATTTTCTAGTTTGAGTTTTATAAACATCTGAGCCAATTGACCGGTCAATATTTGGTTAAAGTGCAATTAAAATCTCCTCCAATTACATAAAATCCTTGAAGAGTAGATATAGTAAGAAACAGATCTTCAAAAATTTTTGGCTTATTTTCATTTGGGCCATATAAACTCACTAAATTTAAAGTAAATGAGAAAATGTTAATATTTCGTATTAATGTGACATACACAGCCGGCAAGTACAAACGTATTTGTTAAAAGCATTATATGAACATATTGAACTATCCTGCATGAAAAAAAAAACAAAAAAAACAAAGTCACTCCGTAGCTGCTTATGACTTATACATACATCAAAGATTAACTGGATACTATGTCAGCTGAGGTAGAGAAAAACAGCTATCAGTTATAAGCAGCTAATTCTGTGGTCCAGGAATTGAACCGCTCGCCAGTACAGTCAATCCTGTCCAGCGTGTGTGCGGAGGAAATCCCCAGCTTCCTTAGGAGATGAAAACAGCTGTATCTTCCCTTTGTGGAGGATCCTCATTTTGCATGAATTATTTTGAAACCCGCGGAACATTCTTTTTTCAGCAAAAGCTTTCCTGATGTTATCGAACTCCGCTCGTTGTCGGATGGTTTCTGCTGAAAGATCCTGAACGAAAAAAGTTTATTCCCATCGCATTCAATGTTGCGTTGTTTTGTAGAGCGGAAAACAAATTCCCAATCTTGGAAATTCAGGAAACGGATGAGGACGGCTTTGTGCTGGTTCGGTTTTGGAGGTGCTAGGGTGCGGTGGGCCCTCTCAATGATGAAGGATCTATCGGTCTCCAGCCAGTGCAGCAGCATCTCCCGTATAAACTCCAGCAAAGGCCGCTGACCCTCAGCGCTTTCCCGGAGCCCAAAAAGGCGCAGGTTCTTCCTTCGGCCTCGGTTCTCCAGGTCGTCGGTCTTACCTTCCAAGTAGGATATTCGCTTCAGGGCTTTGGCAAGATTAGCCGTACTAGTTTCTAAGAGTTCCTCCACCGATACGATTCTGTTGTCAGCTGCGTCCAGTCTAGTAGCATTGGCAGCCACATTTTGCTTCACTTCTGCTATGTTTTTCTCCAAAGATGCGATGGACTTCGTCATTTCACCCATACGGTTATCTATGCTGTCCAATTTGTTTCCAAATCCACTGAACTCTGAATGCAACGACCAAAGTTCAGCAAGCACCRTGCTAAGTTCACACATGCTATCAATGCTAGCGGCCCCCTTTTTGTCTTGATCTGCTACCGAAGTATCAGTTTTAGCTGGTTTTTGGGAACCGCATTTTCATGTGAAAATATCACAGTCCTTAAGAGTGGTCGATTTTGACATTTTCAGGACCAGATTACGTTTCTAATCCTGGATTTTTCGAAGTTTTGGTGCAGGTCACACGGAGCATCCACTTTAAGCTGCCATCTTAGTTCGCAGCTCCACAGCACCCCAGTTTACTTTTCGATTTAATGTATAATGCTGATCCTATGTTTGCATTGATTATCAGTCATCCACAACATGGTAAATGCTGAGGGTTTAAAACCAAATAACTGGATTTTTGTTCTGTGAGTTGAAGACGTTTCGCTTCTCAGCTGAGGAGAGTTTCTAATGACATGAAAATATTTCACACTCATCACACCTGTTTGGTACATTCTGTATTCATGGTAGGCAGTTTAATGCAGACATTGTTTCACAGAAGACATACAATTGTAAATATATTTGATTTACGGTAATTAATTTAAAAATGGTTTTAAATATACAGTATTGGTCAACAGTCTCAAACAAACTGCAGATTTGTATATGTTTTGCCTTTAAGAAGCCTACGTGAAGGTTTTTAAAAAAAATTTTAATTGGTTGATTTTACTACATATTTAAGTTCCTGAATCATTTGTGGTGGGATGGGCTTATTTTTCATTAATGTATATTAGGTTTTAATATTTAATGATTTTCATTTTTTAAAGGACGTGATATTGAGATTTTGTTCATCTGCTGAATGCAGGACTTTTTAGGCCAGAGACTTTCTTTGTCCTCCACTTGTCCAGTTTTCTCTCCTTTTTTATGGACACAACGCAACGTGCCTAAATGTTTTGTTTTATAGCTAAAAGCTGTGAGGAAACGCTACTAACTGAACACTTAGCGACCTGAAGAAAGCTTATAAACTTGAGTTTGTGGCCAGTTTAAAAGACTTGTAAGTCTAGTTCCTTAGAAACAAAATAAAAATAACTAGAAGCACTCGGAGAGTGCAAACCTCCGCCAAGACCAATTTCCCCGTCCTGTAATAGAGTTACAAAGGGGCACACCAATACTACAGTGCCACCTGCCACCGGGTTCCAACACCTTGAAACCCACTCCCTGTGAAAGCATCACAGCTTTGCCGATCTCAACTGTTAAAAAGGAAAAAAATTCCTGTCTCCACATCATGATCCGGAACATCACCAAAATTTAAAGGTGTGTTACTTGAGCCAGTACCCATATGTGGTAAAAATGTCATGACAATCCGTCCACAAGTTTTTGAGTAATGTTGTCCACAGACAGAATGACAGAATGACAGAACGACAGACGGACAGACAGACGGACAGACATACGCAACCAAAAACATTACCTCGCCCTTGGCGGAGGTAAAAAAAGACATGGCTCAACACTTATACACAGCACTTCAAGTCAGTTCTCATTATCTTCTTATAAAAAGCTTGTTCTTTGTTTAAACTGGGATACAGTTTCTGGAAAATTTCTGGAACAAAGTTTATTTTTCTTCTTCCATGGGAGGACATGCCAAAGGTGGGACCTCTGTTCTTCTCTGTTCTGGATATACATCTGGACTCCGATCACTGGATTCTACAGTTTGGCTGGGTGGTCTCCTGGTGTTCTACAAAACAGCGTCGGTGGCTTTGCACTTTCTGGCTGACTGACCAACTGGATGGATGGCTGTATTCTATCAGCACTCGGACATTGTGCCTTGAGTGAGCTGGACTCGGTCTGCAAGCGGTTTTACGGAGAGCTGCGGGCCGGCTGTGTTCCCTGGACTTTGCTGGCCAGATGGAATTCATCTTAGAGAAAGCTGATGAATCGGCTCGGCGGTATGTGTCCACACCATTTTGCCTGATTGGATTCGACACCTTGAGAGTACCAGCAGATATTAAGGCAGAGGGAAATTTGTTGTTGTCTGCCTGTCCCTTCTGTTCCCAAAACAACTGATTAAAGAATCTGGATCTCCTCGGCAACGGCGTTGGATCTGTAGGCTAAATCCTTCCTGGTTGGAAGATGTTGACACGGCTCTCCCCCCCTCCCTCCTCCTCCCTCACCCGTATGATCTGATTCCTCAGGAATCTGAGGCCCCACAGAATGAACAATTGACCATCGATATTCTGAACTTWGGCTGCGCTGGCCTTGGGGACTGGATTCTTCGGGCCCCCTTACCTCAATTACTCCTCTGGCTAAAAATCTTGCTCTATGCAGAGGGTTTTTTTCATAAACACCGTAGTGTGTCACAGTGTTGATMTAATATGATATTTTTGCTTTTTTTCCCTCAGTTTTCCTTGTGTGGTTTTTAGTTTTTCTGTTTTTCTGTTTGTCTAAAGGTAGCGCAACTGTGTTTGCTGCATGACCTGTGTTTACTGCCCCCTCCCCCCTTCCCTGAATGTACAGCACCTTGTGAATTTATTTCTGTGAAAGGCGCTATATAAATAAAACTTTACTTACTTTACTTTACTTACTTTTCAGTGACCTAAAAAAATTTAAAGTGGTGGAGTCATTTTAGCACAAAATAGATGAAATAAAAAAATAATGTAAAAATGAAAGTATCACCTTTCCAGTATTTCAGTAAGGAGCAGAAAACCTTGTTTTGGTACGTCCAGATTGGTCAGGTTAGAAGCCTCCTTCAGACTACGCACCAGGGACTCAATACCTATCACACACCACAAACACATACACACATGCTGTTTCAAATAAATGCTTAAATACAGATTAAACAAAATACAGATGAACAGACAGTTCGGCAACATTAAACACTTGTCTAATCCTGCTCAAGTGTTCTGACATTTAATATCTTTACACCAAGTTTCTGCATCAAAATGTAGCCTTAAATGTAATATAAATGAAGTACACACAAAACAACCTCATGCATTTTTCACAGCAGCTATGATGCGTGTTTTTAATTTACTGCTACATGAAAGCTGCTGTAATAAGTCCATGCTCATATTGATCTAGGACAAGAAATGGCTGCAGCAAAAATCCAACGTGCAGACAAAATCATTCTGTAATGCAAGCATATGTTAACATACTGTGCGTACTGGTATTTAGGTGCTTATGGGATAGTAGCTTCTCAAATGCATGAGAGTAAAACTCGGCTCTTACATCTCACGTTCTTACTCTTAGCTCGCTGCAAGACTGAACTGAGCTCTCTCTTTTATTCTCTGTACACAAGACAGTTTATTCAATACCTTCATTAAATTTGTGAACAATTAAATTTAAGGAGAACACCAACCATTGTCAGGGTGGCGAGTCAGCATACAGGGACTACTGTAGGTACCGAGACTGCAGAAATGAGTGACAATCTAACGCTGAACACCCCAATTAGCAGAAGACTTTATGCATTATGGAAGCATTCTTGGAAAGAATGAAGATTTTAAAGACTTTGGATGCGCTGGAATGTTCGAGCCTAACATTACAATGACTATTAAAAATGTACAGAGGCTCACAACAAAGGCTGCACTTCTCCAGACTGCTCACAGGAAGAGAAAGCCGCTGGTGGCATTCTAACACGCGTCCTTTGAGGGTGTCTTTATTTATCTTTTTATATCTCAGCGTGGTTTGTGAGGTGAACTGTTGCATACAAAAAGAATCTGCAAACAATCATTAAGTCTGCAGCGCATCATGCATCAACTAACATCATGAAAAGAAAAAGAAAACTTTTAAATGACCCTTTCACTCCAGTCAGCAATTTTCTGATCTGCTGCCTAGTGCCTCCATGGTAAAGCTGCCAAAACACAAACCACCAAACTTAGTTCCCTTTCAGTCAATTCACTCGGGACAACACATYATGTATGGGAAACCACGTACCTGCGTGTCCTGGCTGAAGCCACCTCTAATCACGCCTTTAGGCAGGTGGCATGATGACGACAGATGTCAGGCTCTGCCTGCACATATATACTGTCGCCATTACAGTCAGTCCTCGGTTCTAACGCTCTTCACCTCGCTAGAACACCCACCTCTTCCAACCTAGCTAGTTAGCTGCTGCTAATTAGCTTTGTTTGTTCGAAGGTTCTCGAAATTAGTTTAACAGCTTTTGCTGGTGTTAGCTGCAGCTGCCTACTGGTAACTATGTTTGACGGCGGAGCGTTAACTTTGAGCAAAYCTTTCTTACCTCGATGAAAGAGAGCATTTTGTGGTTCGAGATGAGCACAGAATTACTCAAGAAGAAGCAGAAGTCTGCGGTTCACCCGTCCCCAGGGGTGCGACTTCTCGCTTCACGAAAAGGACCAGCACGAGGCTTGCCCGGTCTGTTTGGGAATCGTCCACGCTCGTAGGGTGTTGGCGGAGCCCGAAGCATGTGCGTTTTGTCGCCAGCTTCGATGCTCAACCCTGGAGAGACGGGTTAAATTCTTGGAGAAAGTGCTGGGCGAAGCTGCAGTCGCACGGCAGGACCCTCTCCTCTCGGAGTAACCCGGTTCCGTCTGAGTCTGACGAGGAGGAGCTCTCGGTCGAAGTCCCCAATCCAGCTGGGCAGACCAAATGGAGTATATGGAGGGGTTAGCCGACGAAGAAGAGGAGGCTTCCCAGTTTTAACTGGACCTCCTCCAGGGAGACGAGGAGGTGCTGAATATTGGTCTGGATGTTCATGGTCTGTCGGAGGACAACGACGAACACGGTCCAAGTCAAGGCAAACCAGGCAAACCAGGAAGACACGTCTTTTCTCTCCTTGTGTCGTCGTGCGGCTCAGAAACTAGAGGTGGAGTGGCCTGCTCCACCTCCTGCACAAAAACCATCGCGGTTCGCGGGGTTTTTTCTCCCCACTGAACCAACCACGGTGAAGAACCGCCTTCCCATGTTCCCAGACTTCGTCTCAGGGCTGACGTCCTGCTGGAGCAAACCTCTGTCCACCCACATCACAGTATCCGGTTATGGACCGTATTTGGATCTGGAAGGAGCTGAAAAAGCTGGACTAGTGAACATCCCTCCTATGGAGCCATCCCTAGCCGCGTATTTGGCCCCGTCTCACAACCATGGAGCAGGCCCACCACGCTTCCTTCCAAGCCGTGTACATTTTCTGCTGCGCAGCTGGAAAAAATCTACAAAGCTCAGGCCACCACTGCTCGCGGCCTGAGCTCCATCAGCATGCTCCAGCTGAAGAAGAAGCAGGCTCTGCACTGCATTATCCCCAGACAGGACTCAAGACCAAAGACCAGCACACAGAAACCGGCTGCCCAGCCGCCTCCTGCGAAGAGAACGGTGCTGCCTGGGAGCCTAGGCACCCAGCCACCGCAGCCTCATAACCATGGCCAACCCACCCGCTAGTCGGCTTGGAGCAAGGGCCGTCCTCCAGATCTTCAGAAGGGCTCAGTCCTCCTAGTTGTGGGACGGTCACTTCAGGGACTTCAGGACCAGGGAGACATGTTTGCCAGTCTTCGGCTGCCGCCCAAGACGCATCTTGTTTGTTTTGTTCAGGAAACCAGCCCAAAGAAGCGCTGCGTTTCCCGCACACAGTCTCCCAAGCACCAGTCCCACCCTACTCACACATTGTTTATACAAAAAGCCCCCAGTTTGGGTGCGCTAAATGTTCAGAATGTAAATGTACAAAATGTTTGTGTAAACTTGTTGAATATGTAAATAAAGGAAAAACTTCACACAAAAAAAATCAAAAAAGTTGTGAGCGACAGTCATAATGCTGCGCCTCTCTCATGCGACAGAGGGCAGCAGGACTTAGCTAACACAAGTCGGTCGCCTAGCGTCGTGACTTGCTCTCTGGCACGCATGCGCACCATCCCCTTGGGTAGAGAGAACTGTTGCCATGGGTTACCGACTACAGTTTTGCATAAGGCCGCCCCGTTTCAACACCGTGTTAAACACTGTTGTTGGGAACGAAGCAGCCGTGGTTTTGAGAAAGGAAATAAACACGCTACTGGCGAAAGGAGCCATAAGTGTGGTCCCCACCTCGGACATAAACAAAGGTTGGTACAGCCGTTATTTTGTCGTTCCGAAAAAAGACGGCGGCCTCCGTCCGATTCTRGACCTGAGAGTGTTAAACAAATTTCTACGAACATACAGGTTCAAAATGCTAACACTCAGGCAGCTTCTGTATTCGGTCAGCCCGGGCGACTGGTTTGCGACCATCGACTTAACAGACGCTTACTTTCATGTAGCGATTCATCCAGACCACAGGAAATTTCTGAGTTTTGCGTTCGCAGACTTTCTGTGCATTTATTCCAACGTGTTTCTTCATTTTTGGTAAATCGTGCCACCACACCTACGAATACCTGGTGCTGCCATTCGGTCTGTCGCTAGCACCCCGCACCTTTTCAAAATGTGTGGAAGCAGCATTGGCCCCTCTCAGGGAGAAAGGGGTCCGCCTGTTAACGTACATGGACGACTGGGCTCTGATAGCCAGCTCCAAGGAGCAGGCAACAGAGCGTCTGTCTCAGGTTCTGTCGCACATTCRGGCTCTGGGTTTTTCTGTAAATTTTCAGAAAAGCTTATTGACTCTGAGTCAGCATTCTTTCCTCAGATTAGAAATATGTATCCAGTCGGGCAGAGCGTGTTCCTGTTGGAACTGTCTCACACTCTCTTGCAGTGGTGCAGCGTGCATTTCCTGTCTATCAGGGCCACTCACGTTCCTGGGAGACTGAATCTGGGCCCAGATCTACTCTCCAGGGGCGGACCTATGGTGAGGGAGTGGAGGCTGCATCCCTCAGTGGTGGACCAGATTTGGACCATGTTTGGCAGGGCAGCAGTGGATCTCCTTGCCACAKGGGCCAACACCCACAGCCCTCTGTTCTTTTCCATTACGGATCAGAACGCCCCACTGGGGGGTGGACGCTCTAGCCCACCTGTGGCCCAATGTACTTCTGTATGCATTTCCCCCAGTGGAAATGATACTGCCTGTACTGGAAAGGATGCGCAGACAGGGTCTGTCTCTGATTCTGGTGGCACCCTGTTGGCCAGCGAAGTCTTGGAACGCTGAGATAATCAGCCTGCTGGCTGCTCAGCCCTGGCAACTTCTTCTTCGCCAAGATCTCCTCTCTCAGGCAGGGGGGGAGATATTTCACCCACAACCAGAGTTGTGGAGGCTGCACGCCTACCTGCTGAAAGGTCCTGCTTGCTAGCCAGAGGCCTTTCCCCGGCAGTGGTAGCAACTGTCCAGAACGTGAGAGCGCCCTCCACTAGAGGTTTATATACCTACAAGTGGCACGCTTTCGAGCAGTGGTGTGAGGTTAGGCACATTGTCCCATTTCAATCCTCTATGGTGGATGTTTTAACATTCCTTCAGGAGCTGTTGGATAAAGGTCTGACTTTTTCCACAATTAAAATCTACCTGGCAGCTATTTCTGCTTGCCATGTGGGTTTTGATGGAGTCACGCCAAGTGCTCATCCTCTAGCAGTGCATTTTCTGAAGGGGATCCGTAGGCTGCGGCCCGTTATTAAACCCAGTATCCCTACCTGGGATCTTACTGTGTTGCTTGAGGCTCTCTGTGACCCACCCCCCCCTTTGAGCCCCTGGAGTCTGTGGATTTGAAGTTCCTTTCATATAAAGTTGTGTTGCTTCTTGCACTAACAACTGTTAAAAGGGTCGAGGACCTCCATGCTCTGTCTGTGAATCCCTCCTGTATTCAGTTTTCACCTGAGGGCTCCAAGGTGGTTCTGCATCCAAACTCAGCGTATCTCCCTAAGGAGATACCTTCTAACTACAGCTCCATGTCTATTGAGCTTTCTAGTTTTTATCCTCCCCCTTTTGCATCTGAGGAGCAGAGGAGGTTACATTCTTTGTTTCCTCTACGTGCACTGCGTATTTACATTGACCGCACATAGGAGGTGACGTCATGTGATCAGCTGTTTGTGTGTGTTGCTAACCCACTCAGGGGCAGGGCTCTGTCCAGACAGAGACTCTCCCACTGGATTGTGGAGGCTCTTTCTTTAGCTTACAGCAGCAGGGGTCTCCCAGCCCCATCTGGTGTGAGAGCTCACTCCACCAGGGGTGTAGCAGCGTCCTGGGCACTATTTAAAGGGGTACCTGTGAGTGACATCTGTGCTGCGGCCAGCTGGTCTTCACCACACACGTTTGTTCAGTTTTATCGCTTAGATGTGACAGCCCCTTCGGTGGCTCACTCTGTGCTCTCCGCTGCGTCTGAAGTGCTGCACTAGCATGTTAATACGACCCAAGTTTGGTGCTGCTCTGCGGGGCTTTTATATATGTCCCATACATGTTGTTGTACCGAGTGAATTGACTGAAAGGGAACAGTAGTTATATCCATAACATTTCGTTTCTTCCATACATCTATTGTCACTCAAAAAAATAAAATAAAAACAGTTTAGTGTTATCTGGCTATGAATGCACAATGCAGTATGTGTGCATTTTAAGTCATCTATATTATATTTTACCATAGCATCAAACTACTTGATAGTTTTGTACACCAAGTGCTATTGATTTTGAGAAAAGTCATGATTTATTGTGAACTGGAAAATAATTTTCTACTACGTTTAAAACAACTGCAGTAGGGTTGGCATCCACCTTTAATAAAAGTTTAACTGACATAACATTTCTTCAGACTGCATTAGGTCTCTTTGCAACTTGAGGGTTTCTCTGAACTGAAGGCTGTGATATTATTTTTCTCCCTCACCTTTTGTAGAGAAAATCTTTTTGCACTCCATCAGAGGGTGGCATTTATATAAACATTGGGCCTCATGCAAGAACCGTTCGTACGCACAGATTTGTTCTTAAATTGTGCGTACGAGTGATTTAGGAGAATTTGTGGCATTCACCAATGTTTTCGTATTCTAAGATTTTTTTCAGATACGAACAAAATTTACGAGTGGTCCAGATTCCTTCTGTTTGGATTTGACGCCCTGCCCCCTGAC